AGAGTTGGGGCAAATGGGAAAAAAAAAACTAACTTTGTAAGACACTTATATAATCTATTTATTAATGGGTGTTCACCTCTGTGTGTGTTTGTCTGGCCATTCAGATGCTTAAAACCATCTGTATTCTGATTCAGCATATTCCAAGAAAGGTTTTTATGAATCCCTTATTTCTGTAGTCTTTATATAATAAAAGATATTTGTAAATTAAAACATAAGTTAACAAATGGAAAATGCAGCACAAAAAATATGCAGATATTTTAGCATTTCCAATTTAAACATGATGTCATTTTTAAATAAACAATGGCAAATTTAATGAATAAATTGTATAATATTCCATTTATTTATCTAGAAATATTAAGGTTCTGACAATTAATATGGCATTGAGCTCTCTTTCTCCAGAGTAGCAGACTGCTTTAGGAATTAATATATATATGAATAAAGACAAAAGGAAATCTTTTCTTTACTAATGTAAAATTTCTATTTTATACAATTCTTATTAAAATTACAATGAAACCAAAGAAAAATGTTTGTATAATTTTTATCATTCTTCATTTTTGTTTTAATCTATTCTAATAAAGAAGCATTTATCTGTGAGTATATTTGTCTGACATAAACACCAAAGCTACAATATTCAGGCCCTTAAAGCCATCACTCTTCGGATTCTGCAGGTTCCAAGAAAAGTATTGATATAAACAGTTTATTTCTTTACTTTATATATAAGCAAAAATATTTATAAATTAAAACATATGTAAGTTATTATTAATAAACCTAGCATAGATCTATGTGTATGAATGTCTCCAAAACTACAATATTTAGGCCCTTAAAAAATCTATATCCTGATTCAGTGAGTTCAAAAGATGCTTTTCATAAACAATTTATTTCTGTACTTTTTATATGTGAAAATATTTGCAAATTAAAACTTATTTAATAGTATTAGTGAACCTAGTCAAGAAATATATCAATATTTTAATAAAAACTCACAAATAAATGAATAAATTGTAGAATATTCTATACTTTTTGTTTAATAAAAGATTTAAAAAAAAATTATAACTGATTGATTTTAAAATCTCATTATAATGGCAGTACTGATTAATGATTTTATTTCAATATAATACACGAGTAATATTTATTTAAATAGTGACAAAAAATTAAATTGTAATATTGTTTACCAGGAATTTATACATTACTGGTGTATTTTGATATAATACATGGGCAACACTGGGTAGCCCTGCTAGAAAGAAAATTAGAGGATTTCTTATGGTGAGCCTAGTGTGAAATGTATAAACTTCCACTTTCAAAGTGACTATTGTTTGTTCCTTCTCCTCCTCCTAGAGCATTGGAAAGAGCCACAACCACACCAAGTAATGCTGCTGTGCTTTTAATAGCAAGTAAATTTTTATTGATCTTGGGTGTTCATCCAACCTACAAAATAAATTAACCCTAGCTGGTGGGGGCAGTGGATTTATGCATTTCCCAGGAATTTTAGTTAGTAAATATGACTGCAACTTTGTTCAGATTTTCATCAACTAGACATTCTCACTCTGCAATAGGTTTCAATTCCTGTTTGCATGAACAAAAACTAGGACTGCCCGCTGTACATTCAATAAAGGAATGGAAGGTGAAATATTACTATGCTAAGGAAAAAACACTTATCCCATTTTCAGTATACCAGATTCTTTATTCATGAATTCACCTTGCATAAGTTAGGTAAGGAATACTTCACTGCCACTTCTGTATTCTCTCACAACAGATTAAATGACCAGATGTTCCTGGTTTGTCACTCCCATTATAGAATGCAACCTGACTATTTAAGCCCATGAGTGGAATTCTCCATCTTCCAGCCAAGTAGCGCTTGATCCCCAAAATTTTCATCTACTTATTTATTTTCTTTTTCCCTATTTATGAACACTGAGTGGTTGATTTGAAGTTCTCACATTTCAACTTTATTGACAGTTATAAAACATCCATAGCTTTAGGCCTAGATAAAATTACAGTTCATGTGATGAGGTGAGTGTTCTCATTAGGACCTATCATGCCACAAGTTTGAAGTGAATGCAAACTGTCTCGGCTGCAGCTTGAACTTTGTTGACAGATTCCAGTGTCCTTGTTGTTCATCCTGAGGTTACTTGTAGGTCCAGTCAACACACACACTGCTCACTTTCTAGGCTTTGATAACTCTCTCAGTAAGTTGACCTTAGAATTGAACATGATACAATAAATGGTGGTGGAGAGACGAAACAAATAGAAGGCCCCAAAATTCCAACATCTGATTGTCTTACAAGACAGTGGATACAGGAGTTGATCGTAGTCGAGATCGAATCAAAGCAAATGATCATTTCCTTAGCCCTGCATAGTATGTACTTCAAGGCTACATATAGTTTTGAATTCAGAGTTTTCCTTCTCCTAGATTGGTTGCCACCCAAGGCTAGGAGGAAGAAGAGTTGGATTCATACCTTTCCCAAGTGCATTAACGCATGGATATAAATATTGTTGCAATTTAGTGTAAGTTCAGCATTGGAACCCATATAATCTGGGCTCAGTGCCACTTCCAGTAGCAGCATCACAAGAACAAACTGACAAGTTATCTCCCTGATTCTGAACAGTAAACTGAAAGGTCTACAATTATGAATTTAACAAAGGGTTCAACTCAAAATTATCAGCACAAACCAGATGAGGCTAACATTTCAAATAATTCTTCCAGTTAACATTATTATATTTTTACTTGTTTCACATTACTCCCTGCTTGTCCCTCATAAACAATGGACTATTCCATTTTGATTGCAATGAAAGATGTGTGGGGGGGACCAGATGCTTTTTGGTACTAGTAAGAAAAAGATGGTAAATAAGACTCACTGCTTCAGTGAAATGAAAGAACTTGGCAATTTCAAATCTTTTCATTTGTACCCTCTTACTTCTTTAAACTTTACCTCGCTAATTTTTTTCTAGAATTGTTCCCCCTGCCACTGCATTTTTTTTGAGGGTGCAAAAACAAACACCTACAATTTTAAAATTATAACTTTCTTTGTGTTGTGTGCATAGATTTTACTTTTTACTAATAAAAGAATGGATGAGTAATATTTTGATGTAATCCATTACATTTTGGATACATGTTTGGATGTTGAAAACAAAAATTGAACACAAAAAACAAATATATTAACAATTTAACATATCATAATTTAACTTTTATTACTCCTTGTGGAGTTCAGCGGTGGGGACAATAAAAAGCAAAATGTCTAAGGCAGCTTTCATTTTGTCAAAAAAGGGACATGCTTCCTCATCTTTCTTTCACCTGACTAGCATATTTGTCTCATTGACAAAGTTATATCGTCGTTTATAAATAGATGAAATAATTCACCTTCAGAAAGTCTATCAGGTATATCGATGGTTACCAGTAGCTCTCCATAAAATTAGTCAGCCATGGATGATAGTAACCGCTAGTGGTCATCATCGCTTTCCTCCGCATAACTAATGTGGTTATCATCTTCAATCACTTCACCATTAATATCCATTTGAGTAAAGCCTTCAAAATCATTATCGGGGTCCGAATCAAAGAAAAACTCTTGAATAAAGGCTCCATTGGATGTTGATGCTGCCATTTTTGTTTACAAAAAAATTGTGAAAAAATTAACGCAGGTTTTGATTAAACCTGTGTTAATTTTTTCACTTTTCTAGAAGAATTCAAAATGGCATCGGAAAACCTAAGTTTAGCCTTGTTCCAAAGCAGTAGTAGGCAATTTCCAGCTTAAAATACCAGAAATAACAGTTGACAAGTATTTATTTATAGCAACAGTTTTGAGGCGACAGAATGCACCTAGAGTAGCAAAGGGAGAGAATTCTATGGAGACAATTTTTTCCTCCAGCATGGTAATGGTTAACTAATTACCAGTTTTCATATTTATGATTGTTATTGGTTAAAGTTGCTAAGCTGAAATATTTAAGAATGCAATAGAATTTCCATGGTATTTCACATGATGAGAATAGCATGGACGAAACATGTAAGCAATGAGGAAGTTTTTAAGGAAAATGGAAACAAACAGAACACTTACACTTAGAATCAGAAAAATACAGCTGAAAATTCTAGGACAAATAATGAAGAAGGAGAGTGACTTCCTTGGAGTAACATTCTCAGCTGACATGAAGTGGAACGATAACATTGAATCCATTGCTAGGTCAACTGCCAAGAAAGTCAGTTCAGTGTCGTGCTAGACAATTTTTTATCTATAGGTCTACCATTCACTCACACTTTGAATATTGCTGCCACATGTGATCTGGTGTTCCTGTTCTATATTTAGAGATTCTTGATAAAATCCACCAAAGAATCAGCAATGTTGTTGGTCATGCCGTCTCAGCTTCAATCACTTCCCTGTGCATTTTCTATAAGTACTCATGGTAATCGTTTGGATAAGCTCTTCGCTATGGTACCTAGGTTTTATGAATTTAAGCGCAGTACTTGATTGGCAATGAGGTCTCATTAATTTAGTCAAACTGGCTAGATGTCACCATGAATTTTATGCTAAGTTTCTTTTCTTGCACCTGTGGAACTCCCTACCAACTTCAAGCTTTCAAACCAACTTTGATTCAAAAAATTTAAATGCAATGTCAACCACTATCTACTCGATTACTCAGCTATTGTTCTCACATCTTAGTAATGTTTCTGTTTTCTGATTCTTCCTGACCTAGGAACCCTTTGTGTCTTAGTGGCTTTACTGCCTTCCTTGGGTTTGAAATTGTTTTATATAAAAAAAAAAAAAAATACTTATGAATTTTGCAAGGAGCTTATTCAATTATTATCTTATGAATTAAGATTCATTAGAAAATTCAAATAGTAAAACTGAAACTTTCAGAGATATTTCTAAATATTAATTTGTGGAACTTTTTTTTTTGTTGTTGTTGTAATTTCTGTAATTGTGTGACAATAAAAACAATCATAAAATAACTGCCATTTCTAAGACAATAGATTGTGACATCAGTCTGATTTTTCTTTTTTTCTTGTTTTACAGTCCAGCTCAAAAGAACACACCTCATCACCACTGTTGAAGAACAGAAAGAAAAAGAATTAAAAATTTATTTTTATGTATTTCAAATTTATTTTTCTGAATAAAACATTTCCTGAAATATAAACGTTTTGTGTTCACCAATCACTGTGGATCAGACTATGGTTGTAGAATCATCAGTTAGTACTGTAAGCTTGGATGTGCAGGTGGTGTAAGGGATAATGGCTCAGAGTCGTTAATCAGAGACAAGTTTCAATTTCGGTAGCGGTTTGTTATATTCACTTATGCACAAATACTCTTTGGAAAGGTATGAATCTACTTTCTTCCCCCAACTATGGGTTAATTAGTAAGACTTGTATCACTAAGCCATTATTATCTCAAAAAAAAAAAAAAAAAAAAAAAAAAAACTTAAATAGTTTCTGGCTTTAAATAATCTGCAAATGGCTTGATAAGCTGTAAAAAAACAAATCAATCAACAGTTTTCTTTAAAAAGATGTATAAGCCATAGAATGGATTTGGCAAAAATGTTAAGACTGAATTCAGTAGATTCACCATCTCTTGGAAGGGTCAATGCTTTTTGGCAAACATGGAGAAACATGTCCACAATAAGACAGTGTCAAAAGGAAATTCCCCACCCCCATGATACCACTTTTTTAAACTACCATCACTCTTCAGCAATGATTAGAATTATAATAAAACCTAAACATGTCAAAGCGAATTTATACATTTTATTTGTTCTTCAGAATTGAAAAAACGAAAACATGATTTATTAGAATGGCTGGCAAAACATTGGCTAATTAGCAACTGATTCAAACTTTATAAAATGGTAAATAATAAAAATTTCCTTAAAAAGGTTCACATTTCTTTATAAATTGTTAAATGATAAATATTTCATTGTATTAGTTTTTAGAATGTTGTAAATATAAAATTATTTTTGTATATAAACAATCTAATAAATAGTGTTTAATATTTTTGTTGTAAATTCCCAAGAGCAAAAATAATTCTTAAAACAATAAACATTGTCAAAGAGTAAAATAATAGTGGTGTCAAGGGAAAAAACTATCCTTTTGACATGTCCTATTGCAGGAACATTTCTCCATGTTTGCCAACTTTTCTAAAACAAAGATTATGGAAAATAACTTTACACTTAAGGAAAGTTCTAGAAATAGATTGACTTAAGCACTTTACTATTGCTCTTGGAATAATCACTTCTCAAAATTACAAAAGAATAAAGGTGTTTGCATCTGAAAGAACCAAAGATTTGTCTTTAAAAAATCTTCCACTTTATCTGAAAAAAAATTCTCCCAATTCCCTCCATTTTTTTTACATTATTTCTTCATTAGTTACAATAAATTCAAATGTCATTAACCTCTTCATTGCTATTACTGGTTTCTGAATTTCAAAATCAATTTTTAAGAATCTTAGGTTAAATAACATGACTAAAAGATACTGTATTTACTTGTGTATAATACAAATTTAGTATAATACGACCCCCATGTTTATGGAATTTACAAACAACCACATTGCACAGCCATATTATCCATTAAAATCTCAATGTCTTATATATATATATATATATATTTCACTAGAATATTTGATTTTTAATTACCGTATATACATTCCTATCATGCACTTTTGAAGACCTAATTTTGAAGTTAATTTTAAGGGTGCTGTATCATACACGAGATATAAAATTAGTGTATGTACTGCTGACCCTGGCTATGCTGTTGGCTAAACTATATGTGCATTTACTGTAGTCAAAATGTACAGCTATATTTAAAATAAACATGATTTTGATAAAACTGATGTTTTAAGTGTATCCAACAATAATACATGTAATATTCATATATTAGTATTGTAATATAAAATACAAACAGCAAATATACATCTTTTCCATTCATACATGTTTCATTAAATAATATAGACAAGTGTTGTCGATTTATTTTATGTAAATTCTTTTCATAATGTCTGATAAGCTTAATCTCCACAAATATCCTTAAATGTCTATAATTGGTAACAGAAGCCATTGGTTTATACCAACGGCTTACCCATACTTAATACTTCTCGAATTCACTCCTGCATGGTCATGTGTGACGTCATGAACTGCGGTGCGATTTCGCTTTCAGCATCTTATATGCATGTGTTTATCGTTGCTTGGAAATCATCCATGTAAACAATAGCAGACTATCATCACTGTCTTGTCCGTATATTGCTTAATATATTGTACAGTAATTGTCATCTTTGATAATGGCTTATATAAGCCGAAAGCTTAGATTGGATTAAAAAATATGTATCAATATTGTGATTTTCTTTCTTCTTTTAATGATAATGTTATTAAGCTTAGGTGTTATGAAAAGAATTTGCATAAAATAAATAGACAACACTTGTCTATACTATTTAATGAAACATGTATGAATGAAAAAATGCTGCCTAAATACACACAATCTTTTCCATTGTTTACATTTATAAGATGTTTAGCTATTTCTCATTTGTTTATGGCTGTATGCATTTACACATATAAACGTTACTAATGATACTTTTATCATTCTCTTGCTTTTTTAATTTATTTAACTAGAAGATTAGATAAAGGGATAGAAGAAAAGAGGTTAATTCATTGTAATTTGGTCAATCAAAAAAAAAAAAGAAAAGAAAAGAAAAGAAAGAACTCACATGACACACAAGACACATGATAAAATCGTTTTTATGACTGAAAATTTGGGGGTTGCGTGTTACACATGTATATATGGTATATTAAAGAATAGAAATGAACCGGATGTTTAGCCATTACATTATTTCTTCTAATTTCCATTCCAAAAGTTATTTTCCAATTTTCGGGGAAAAGGTGCTAACTAGACATACCTGGAAATACATTGTTAATTAATCTATCATACTTTTCTGTTTCGAAAGATTACATAATATTTCTATATATTAATAAACTATGAAAATAAAATAAATGAAGAAAGAAATCTATAAAAAAAAAACAAAATCAAAATATAAACAAACTTTATCATGCGAGTAAAAATGAGACAAAAGACATTCAATTATGATGATTCTCAAAAAATAAATATGGCCGACATATTAAATTACCTTTTATAAACAATTGTTATCAACACTGCCTACATCTGTGTTTTATTATCTATTGTACTGAGTGTATTTACAATCTTGTTGTTTCAAATGAGGGCTGAGTAAAAAATCTCAGATTGCTGTTCTGAAATTAGTTTCTAAATCCAGTCCTGGGTTTAATCTATCATACTTTTCTGTTCGATATGACTTTATTATATTTCTATATATTAATGAACTATGAAAATAAAAAAAATATTGTCTTTCATTAAGAATTAAGTGAGAAAATTTTATAAAATATAAAACAAAAACAAAAACAAGGAAGTCAAAACAAACTTTATCTCATGAGTAGAACAGAAACAAAATACGTTCAATTATGTTGATTCCCAAAGAACAAATATGGCCGACATATCAAATACCTTTTATAAACAATTGTTATTGATACCTGCTTACTTAATGTTTTATTATCTATTTTGCTGAGTGTATTTGCAATCTTGCAATTTCAAATAAGAGGTTTATTTTAAGGCGAGTAAAAATTTTGGAAAAGTGTTTACTTATGTAATCCCACCTTTTTTTTTAATCTGTCTATATTTCTGAGATGAGTTATTGTAATTATCCACGTCGGTACATTGTTCTAGTTCCACGTGCCATGCCTTTTCTGAATATCGGTTTCAGTTATTTCCCTTTAGTAACTCAACTCTCCAAGTTTTTTTTTTTTTTGTTCACCTCTGCTGTGGCCAGGTATTGAACTCACAACTCTTTGGGTCAAGTCACAGGATTACTTTTATCCACTGGGTCATGTATCCAAGGACACATGGCCCAGTTGATAAAAGCATTGGTTGAAGTAATCTAAAAGTAACTATACCAGCAGTGGTGAACAAAAAAAACTTGGAGAGTCGAGTTACTAAAGGGAAATAACTAAAACAGATATCCAGAAAAGGTATGTAACTTAGAACAATCAACCCCTAGTGGACAAAATGAAGGGCTTGGTTCAAAAATTTCTCATATTGTGCACAAGAAAACACAGTATTTGAATTACATCAAAATTGTCAGAACGAAGTCCCTCCATAATTCATGGACTTCCGTCAGTTAAGTGTCATCACGTGATGCATGCTTGGACGATCATGTGTCTTTTGATATATGACTAAGTAGAAATGTTTTCCTGCAGTAGACTGGTTGCCAATCAAGGCTATAGGACCCAGTTTGTCCTGCTATTCAACCCATAGCTGGGGGAGAGAAGAGATGAATTCATTCCTTTCCCAAGGGTATTTGTGCGTAAGTGAATTTAATAAACTTGACTGGAATTTGAACTCAGCTCTTCAATTCCTCATTCAGAGCCAATATCTTTTAACACCACAAAGCACACATCTCAAGTTTATAGATGATAAGACAGCAATAATCACAATAATTTCTGGCCAAATTGCATAAAAACAAACTAGCTTTTGATATCATTGTAAGATATATTTATCAACTCAAAATACATGCATTATTAAAAAAAAATAAAGATTGATAAAAAAAGAAGAAAAAAAACAATGTAATGAAATAATCCATGGTCATTAGGCAATTTTTTCTGTTTTTCCATAAATCAGCAGTACAATATCACCAAGTTTCATTTATAAGAAATCAAATTTTAGCTTTTTAAATCAGCTTTTTTGAACTTTACAAAAGGTCAATGCAATTGAATACATAAAAGTTTGATTAAAAAAAAAAAGGAAACGTTATGAAGAAACCATATTTTTATGTATGTATTCAACATTTTTCACAAGTAGAGGTTGGAGATACCAAGGATGCAATTATTATTATTTTTTTTGTTTAAATAAATCATGCCACTATTTATTCATTTTTGAGAATCTGCCAAATGATTGCGGAATGGCCTAGAGGTTTTAGACATTTAACATGAAAATGAAAGTTCATGGTTAAAAGTTTTTAGCCATATCCTATTGTTTAGACAATAATGCTGAAAAGGATCTTTTGAAGGCTTGTCATTCTTTATTAAAACAATGGATATCTATTCATACAATCCACAAGCATTTCTGATGATTTTTATTGAACATTTTTTCTGAGGTTATTATATAAACAAAATATATGTAGAATACCTTAGTTGGTGTTATTGATGATCCTTAACCTGGCTATTTTTGTGGGGATGCATCCCAAATTTTTTAAGGGACTTAATTTTCTCTCTCAATAATTCTTTATTAGTCACACTCCATATGTCAAATTTCATTTAAACAGACTAATCTATATATAAAATGTTGTCACTTCCATTAGTCTGTCATACCCTCTAAAATAACCATACATTAACCAATCAAAATGAAATTGGTAAGGGGGTACAAAGTACAGTTAGTTTTACTAGGGTGTGTAGCTTAGTATAACAAATTTTCATTAATTTTGGGGGGAAAATTAAGTTTTATTATTTATCATACAATATAGGGAGTATTTTGTATGTTAAATAATAAAACTTTTAATTTTTCCTATTTTAAAAACAATAATTAAAATAAACACTTATTTAATAAACATTGTTTTTTGCATATCTTTTCTTTAAGTATATATTTACTTATTTATTTCATTCTGATAAAATATAATGCACAGTAGTAGCACTGTAAATATAAACACATTAGGGAGATTAGAGTTTGTAAATCTCGCCAAAAAATGTTAGTGATAATTTCAACCATACTAAATACTGTGAGGATTTCAATATGCATCAGTGTTGCAAAAAAATTCTAGTTACAATAAATTTTGTCATAGCTGATGTCTTGATTAGTACGATCTTTTCAAAAATCTTTAAAAAAAAAAAAAAAAAAAAAACATGCCCATATACTTTTCGGCAAATATTTTTCATAAAAAAAAAAAAAAAAAAAAAAAGCATTTTTGTGTAGTTTTGATCCTGTTTTTAAGCTAATCTGCAGTGATATTTGACTTAACTGCAATGTAAATGCATTCAATTTTTTTTTGACCATTAGAAATTTTATGCCTTTTGTTTGATTTTTGGTCAGGGCCATGTTTAATAATCATTACAACAGTGACATTAACCGGAAAAAAAAAAAAAAAAAAAAAAAAAAAAAAGCCATTTCCAAAATTGGCTTCTTTCTTGTCTCTTAACCAGATTTTCACCTGGTAGATGCTCAAAAATGCATAAATTTGTAAAAAATACCAGTAAACATAATCAAGGAATTAATGTCTTAAATAGAAAAGAAAAGAAAAGGTACCCACTACATTGTGGATGGCTTCAAAAAACTTGTTTGTACTTCCAACCTCTATTTTAAGTCAATGGCAGAGATTCAAAACATACACATGATGGAAAAAATTAACATGGTTTCAATAAACTGATGGCAATGATTTTAAGATCTGATTGTGTATTAAGTCAATTTGTCAAGTTTAATTCTGACCTCTCAGAGGTCGAAATGTGGTCTGCCTGTCCTCTTTTGGAGGACATGAATCATGACCTTCACTCAGACGATTCATCAACAAATCACAGATATTGAGCAGAAGTTACCAAAATGGCTGCATAGCATTGGAAAATTTGAGAATGGAATAAAAACAGCCAAGACATGACAGACCTATATTGCATGTGGACACAACCAGACCGAGAATACGCAATGTGCGGCACGGGGGTTATGCAGAATTCAAATTTTAAGTCAATGTTTTAAAATGATTCCTAGTCAATGTCCGAATGTATTTTCTCCACTATAAGCAACATAAAGAAAGCCATCTTCATCTTTATGCTCTGCATACACTTGCCCCATACTGGCACTGAAAACAAGACAAAAATATATGATTATAAGATTAAAAAAACATTAAGAAGAGATTCAAAATTGATAACAATGCCTATTAATACCACGATTATTTTAACTAACTTCACACTTTGAAAATGTTTGTTTTAAAAAGTAATGATTAGAATTGTAATAAAACCTAAACATATGCGAGTTTATACATTTTTTTTTGCTCTTGCCAAACCTGAAAAGACCCCTTCCTGCCTCCCATCAGTATAGTTGATACAGTGTAACCCGGATATAAGAGACCCAAATATAAGAGAAACCCCGATATAAGAGAGATTTTCTCTGGTCCCAAATTAGAGCCTGTGTTAATGTATATAAAATAGACCAAACCCTGATATAAGAGAAACCCTGATATAAGAGACTTCTCTGGTCCCGCCAACTCTCTTATATCCGGGTTACACTGTACTAACGTCCATGAGAGTGAATCACGCCGTTTCGAGCTTACATGAAATGGGAAGATTATATTGAATCCATTGCTAAGTCTGCTGCTAAGAAAGTTGATTCACTGTGTCATACTAGACAATTTTTCTCTTCACAATCTATCTTGGATATTTATGAATCTAACATTTGTCCATGCTTTGAATATTGCCATTATACAGGGTGTCCATAAAGTTCGTGTGCACAAAAAAAATAAAAATTAAAAAATTTATATAACTTTAAAGTGCACACGAACTTTATGGACACCCTGTATATGGTTCGGCACTATAGCTGTATATTTAGAAATTTATAAAATCCAAAGAAGAATCAGCAATATTATTGGTATTGACCCAGCATCTCAGCTTCAGTCACTTTCCCACCTGCGTAATGTAGCTTCCCTATGCCTTTTCTATAAATATCTTCATAGTAATTATTTGGATGAACTCTTCACTATGGTACCTAGACTTTATGAATTTAAGTGCAGTACTAAATTGGCAGCAAGGTCTCATCAATTCAGTTGAATTGGCAAGATGGAGCCATAAGTTCTATGCTGTTTCTCTTCCCATATTTCTCAGTTGTGGAACTCTCTCCCGGCTTCATGCTTTCCATCCAACTTTGGTCTTCAAAAATTTAAATGCAATGACAATCATTATCTACTGTCTACTTGATTACTTTTCTATTGTTCTCCCTCCTTAATAATGTTTCTATTTTCTTTTTTTTTTTCACACCCAGTAACCCCACTAGTGGCTTTACTGCCTTGCATGGAGTGATATGATTAAAAAAAAAAAAAGAAAAAAAGCTGAAGGGGCCAGAAATATTTGTACTGTCCTTTATCATTTTTCTAATTAAATTCTGGACAAAACACAAGGAAGACTATTTGGATATTTTGGGGTCCATTGTGCACAATTTCTTTGTTATCAGTTCTTTTCTAAAGTGTGGTTCACTTAACACAAGTTTTCATCACTATAATCAAATAGTGTGTGGACATCTTATACTTGGAAATTCACAAGAGAGTCTGTCACATTTTAGAAATTAGCTTTAATTCTTGTTTTTTTTTTTACTTTAATTATTCACTTCCAAATAATATGATTCTCACGTTATTCAATAAGATTTTATATCTTGCAATTATTTCTCGTAGCAGTAGATTCAGAATTATAATTTGATTTTTAAAAATTCTTGCATTGTAAGTTACCATATTTGATGGAATATAAGGTACATATATTTTTTTTTTTTTTTTTAAACTAAAAACCTCTTAAAATTCCCCTGCGTCTTATATGCCATATGTAGCTTTAAAATTCGCAATAGTTGGACAAAATTAACTCCTATTAGCTTAGACTTTAGAGTAACTTTTATATACCTATTGTTATTATTTAAAAGACTATTATACAGATTAAAAGTGTTCTCATTGATAATATTCATTACATTAATTTCATTACGCTTAATATTGGTACTTTGTTTCACTAAAATTATATGCAATAAGTTCAAATTATATATATTTGTAAAATATATTTGTTTCATTGATATTTTTCTTGCAATAACTTTTGGTTGCATTGGTATAAATACAATCAGAATTTTTATATCCTAATTATTCTAATAATGCGTTTACTAGATGCAAGTTGTACAGGCTTGCATTCTTTTTCCCTATTATTTTTCATTTAATTGTAATCATAGCTTGGTTAACCAAACTAATACCTCATAAATATAGCCTAGTCTGTACCATTTACTAATAATTTTACTAATTACTAATATTTTCTTGATTTGCCCTGCTGAAATTGCGGTGCATCTTATATGCTGTCAAATACAGTAATTTCAACTTGTATTTTTTTTTCTGCCATTTGCTCCACAAATTAATTAGATAATTGGTATCCAGTTGGCAGGTTGGACAGAAGTCCTTCACAGGCCAGATGTGACAGGGGTTGCCTACCTCTGATCAAAATAAACATAAACCATAGAAAAAAGTGGGATACGAAAGTGACAGTAGTGTCTATTGTTTTTGGAATACTAGGAACTATTTTAAAGAGATTAGCAAAAAGATTGGAAGAATTCAAAGTCCAAGAAAGAATCAAAAACCAACCAGATGGCAAAATTTTTAAAAACAGCTGCAATACGGAAAAGTCATGTTGTCACTTGATCTCCAAAGGTTTAAACAGGCATATATATATATATATATATATATATATATATATAAACTTGAGAAAGCTAGAAGTTGAAATATTTAATATAAAAGTAGAAATCCATACAATGAATACATAATCCATAATTGGTTGTCATCAGGAGGTATGTCAACTGCTCCAGACATACCTCAAGGTGACAAGCAGTTATATATTTGCTATTGGAAGTAGGATTAAACAAATCAATCTGCAATATTGTTTAGAGCTAAAATGCTTCTACTACACCTCAGGAGCATGACAGTCCCATAAAATTTATTTTAAACATTCAAATCATATAACTTAGAAAATTTGGATACCTGGACTGAGGTAGCATTCTCCCAACAAACAGAAAAATGGCCTTTTCAGAAGGTAAGTGGATTTTTTTCCGGAGCATCCACATAAATTGAGCCACGGATAAGTCATTTGGCACAAGGAATTTCTTTTTTTCCAAAACCTGGATCTGTGACCGAGGAAGTTTTTCAACTATAACCTGAAAAATACAAACAAACATGAAATACAAACAAACAAAACAGGAGAACAAAACAAACAAGATTCATGCATTCCCTTTTTCTTCAAGAATTGAAAACAAAAGTATTGAGCACAATTCTGGTAAATAAATAGTGTTTAACATTTTTTTTTAGTCATGAGAAAAGGTGAAGGAGTGAGTGTTTCAAAAAAAGAGACAAATAATCATAACATTCTATTTTATATTAACATAAACATGAATTATTGTTGCTTTTTGTTGTTTTTTTTTCAGAGTGTCTATATTTCTGAGATGAGGTATTATGTACAGTATTTACATCAGTCGCACTATTGTCCTCATCTTTGTCGCCATATTTGTCACAACGTTTCGGCCGTTGTACGCTCCGGCTTTCTTCAGGCGGTTGGAATTTCGAACTGAACCATTTATTTCGATCACTGTGGATAAAGGCGTTGGTTAGATCCAGTGACAAACCCAAAGAAGGTGAGTTCAATACCTGGTTAAGGCAGTGGAGAACTTTCAGAGGGAAAATTAGCAGGAGATAACTGATATTCCCCATTCTCTTTATCCTTTCCTTTATCACACCTTTTTACTCTTGCTCCAACTCCCTGTAACCCCTTGCATGCTAGTGGTATTCCCACCTTGATTGGGAAGGTTAAAAAAGTATAAAAAAAAGAAAAGAAAAGAAAAGAAAAGAGAAGAGAAAAAAGAAGAAAAAAGAAAAGAAAAAAGAAAAAAAAAAAAAAAAAGAAAAAGAAAATTACAAAACACATATATATATATATATATATATATATATATATATAACACACACAGAGTGCTGGTGTTAATAAAATAGTACTTGATGTATAACAGAACTATAATTTATATTAATAATAATTTTTTTTCCTTCACCAGTAGCACAATGTAATCATCAGGTGCTGATTGAAAACTACAAAAAAAATTTGTAACTTAGTTGATTGATGTCATAATCAACACCTCCCCTCCAAAGTTTCATAGACAAACTTTTTTTGTCATGGTTCAGTCCATTCATCAGGTTTTCAGTAAGTGACTTCCTGTTTTCTCATCATCTTTTTGGAAGATTGACTTTGTTATGAACGACTAAAACCTTTCAAGCACTCAAATTTAGTATGTATACCTATTAAATCCAGAAGTTTTTAACAGAAAATATTTATTCCTGATGAGGAAATAAGTTATCTATCTCTTCCATTATATACATTGATTTTTCACAGAAACAGTTACCGTTTGTAACCATTCAGAATAAGACCATAACTTTTAATAATGTTCAGATGAGAAAAAGTTATTTTAAAAAGGGAATCTCACAGAATTCTTTCAACAAAATATTATTTTTCTTCAATGGAAAATTACCATGAATGAACATAATATGTGCTAGTAATTACCATTACAGCAACTAATTGCTATTTAGAATACAAAACAGGTGTCTTTAAAAACAAACCTCTTTACTGAATAGCTGACATTTTTAATGGACACCAAATAGACATTTCTTTCACTATAAAAAGTTATTAGGAGCGTATTAATTTGATTTTTGCAAGTTCTTAATATTATCCAATTTAATTTAATAATTAATCTTTCTTTCTATTTGAAACAATAGAAAGAAAGATTAATTATTAAATTTTAGGCTGGGGAATTATATTTAATACTAGCAGTAGAGCCCGGCGTTGCCCGAGGATGTAACAGTAAGAGATAAATCAAGTATCGACCATCATAAAGACTGAAAAATAAAATTGACAAAGATTATTGTTTAAGGTTGATGGACATGCATGTCTTAGTTTTTTTGTTTTTTTTTCTTTTACGAATTGGTAAACTCAAACTCAAACAAAAACATTGTTTTCAATCATTATGAGTCTACCGATTGAATAGAATTTTATTATAAACAATTGCCTTGTAAATGAAATTTTTAAAGCATTCTGAATGTAAAAAATAAAGAAAAAAGTGTGCAAGACAATAAGAAACACTACCTGCCAAAAAAAAGTAAAGTTTTGTTGAAATCGGTTGAAAAATGTAGGAAATCCGATCCCATACATAAATGAACACACACACACAATCTGGGTTTTATAATAAGTAAAACTCGATATGAGTTGTCCCCCTTTCATTCTGGCGACGGTGATACCTGTTAATGGTGTTTCAAATTGATTTTGTGCAAAAACAATTGTGTTTTTCCAATTTTTAGCACTGTCAGAACCACCGCAAGGTAATTTTACGTAGTCCTGTGAAGTTTTGTTGAAATCGGTTGAAAAATGTAGGAAATCCGATCCAATATATAAACATACAGACACACACACAATCTGCGTTTTATAATAAGTATGATCAATACCTCAAATGATTGATTTAATTCAATTTAACTACTTTTAATATAAATAAAGAGGGTCATGTCACATGTGATAGTCAAGTAAGTGGATCATGTCTTCAGTGGTGTACACTATGCTTGGCCAATTGCAAGTTGGTGTGGCTATTTAAACTAGAGTTGGAGGTTTTGATTTAGAGTTGTCCTTTTCCTAGATCCGGTCTGTCCTGCAATTTTACTGTATTTGCCTTTGCATAAGGATTGATGAATCAGAGAGCCAAGTTGGAATTACATTCACTTATGTGCAAATACCCTTGGGAATGGGTATGAATCCATCTACTCCCCAAGCCATGGGTTAAATAACAGAATAGACTGGGTCCTACAGTCTCGGGTGGCAATAAGTCTTAGAGAAGGACAACTCTGAATTCTAAACATGTGGAGAGTCATTTGTGGCATATTATGTGAACCAGTTGTCTATATTTGGCTCTTGGGTCATTCTATGATAATTCAACAAAAAAAAAAAAAAAAAAAAAAAAAAAATGAAGTATGTAACTCTAAAAATATAGATTTTTTTTCATTTTGATATATGTTGTACATCTTATAGTTATTAGAAAATCCTGAAAATTTTTCAAATTACTCACCATTCTTAAGGCATCAGAAGTTGAAAATATGCTGAATCAACATTTTCTGTCAATAGACATTTCCATTTTTGAACACAGAAATCTCACAAACCTGCTTATATCTTCTGATCCACTGGTTAGAAATTAATGAAATCTGATACCCTTATAGATTTTTAGTCAAGGAATCCAAATATCCATTTATAATTTTACAGGGAGTAACCAAAAAGTAGATATTAGCAGTTTTATCATGGGGGAATTTTTAAGCAACTGACCACAGAAATATTGAGGAATATCATCTTCAGTGCCAAAAGTAGCAAAAGTTTGCACAACATTTAAAAGCTAGAGTATTTGGGGAATAAATCCCAATCAGTTTCATTAACTGTCTTTCAAAACTACTAATTCTAGATCTCTTAATAGTTTTTTCTCAAACATTTTGTTTCATGGTAATTTCGCAATTATGATTTAATATTGACTCCTTCTGGTAAAGGTGATAAAGTACATATGTAAGAAAACATTGAGAAACCATTACATTGTATTTGGGAGAATTTATTTTCTATATTTTAACAGTACCCTCTTTTTATTTCAAATTTTTATGGAGGTTTGATCATGCATTGCAAAAAAAAAAAAGAAAAAAAAAAAATCATTAGCATCTAAGTCATCCAGTTTCCTCACAGACTTTGAGCATAAATCTGGACTGCAGTATGCAGGACAGGTCTGGTTGAACGGCAGTGATTTTAGGAAAAGGCCAAGGTCAGGGTCACACCACCAGAGGGCAGCCACACAGTGCTGCTGCCATCTTTTGGTAAAACATGAAATTGTATTTTTTAGCTGCCTACTTTTATGATATTAAGAATTAGTTCCTACAAACCAGTAAGATGCCACCACTGCCTTATATGTCAAAAATGACAGGAGAATCCAGCATGGGATTCGTAAATTGCCACCATTTTATGTGTTAATTTTGTTGTTTCTTTTTGTCACCTGCACAGTTGGGCACTGTCTGCAAGAAAAAACAGCACAATGACGCAATTCACTCTGCCAGAAATTTGGGAAGAACATGCTGTATTGCTTGGCATTTGCACCTGAAGTTCCAATATGAATATTTCAAAGTGTTTAGGTGTCAATTTTAGGACAGTACAGAGGATTTAGAAAGAGTTGGATGATATATCCAGTCAATATCATGGTGTTTGGAGTGATCACTAGTAATGGTAATGTTATGTCTCCATTCATCTTCCCACAGGGCCTCAGACTCAACATAATACCTTGAGGAGGTAGTGTTGTCCTGGGTCAAGAGAGTGGCTGCTGGAATTTACTATGTCTGGCAACAGGACTCTCCACCATGCCACACAAGCTGTCAGACAATTTCTGCGATCACCCATTATATCTCGCCACCTAACTCCCCAGACTGCAACCCCCTTGATTATTTGTATAGGGCACAGTGGAACAAGAAACCAACAAAATTCATTATAACACCAAAGATGAACTGAAGGCAAAGATTATGGAAGCATTCACCAACTTAAACAAGACCATCCAGAAGAGTTGCAGGAGATTCTGTAGTCATTGGAAGGCCGTGGTTGAAGTCAATATTTCAAGATATTTTTGTGTAATTTTTGTAAATATATCTGTTAAAATGGGATGTCAGTGTTATTGTCATTTTTGAGTAATTTAGATGACAATTTTTCCATTGCATACTGTATATAAAGGTGGGGGTGCACATATTTTAATATAAGAACATAGCTTATATTAAAATATGTGCACCCCCACCTTTTTTCTTGATCGTTGTGCACAATATTTCTTTAAATTGGGTTCTGATGAGAGAGAGAGAGAGAGAGAGAGAGAGAGAGAGTCAGCTGGTTTTTAATAACGTTTTCTTCATCTGACATTTACGTATATTCTTTGTGCCTAATCTCTTTGTCTTCCTTAATAGGTCAGTTTTTTTATGGCACTGATTATTGTCATTAAAAACTATTTTTAATAAATAAAACATGGAGAGTGATGTCCTACATTTCAAAAATATAAACTTAATTCCATTCTTTATAATACAAATAAAAATAGGTTAAAATTAAAAAAATAAATTCAAATCAGTA